CTACTGGGGAAGAGGGAGGTGGAAGGTGTACCCAGAACTCTAGGGTGTGGCTGAAAAGTGGGAGGAGACTAGCCTAGGGCAATCCAGTGCCCAATTGCTGGTCCTTGAGGGGGGAGGGGGAGGAGGGAAGATTTTTAATTTTAATTTTTAAATTTATATATWKTGTGTGTGTGTCTGTGTGTTGCTAGGGATTGAACCCAGCTTTGTGCATGCAAGGTAAGCACTCTACCAACTAAGGTATATCCCTAGCCCCAAGGACAATTTATTTATCTATCTATCTATCTGTCTATTTATTTATTTATAGGGACCTGGGGTTGAACTCAGGGGCCCTCCACCACTGAGCCACACCCCCCAGCCCTATTTTGTATTTTATTTAGATACAGGGTCTCACTGAGTTGTTCAGTGCCTTGCTTTTGCTGAGGCTGGTTTTGAACTTGCAATCCTCCTGTCTCAGCCTCCCAAGCCACTGGGATTATAGGCATGTGCCACCACACCCAGCTGGGTTTTTAAAATTTTAATTAGTTTATTTATTTTTGAGGTGCCCGGGATTAAACCCAGGGCTTTGTGCATGTGAGGCAAGCACTCAACCAACTGAGCTGTATCCCCAGCCCTGGATTATTTATTTATTTATTTATTTTGGTACCAGGATTTGAACTCAGGGGCACTCCACCACTGAGCCACATCCTCAGCCCTATTTTGTATTTTATTTACAGACAGGGTCTCACTGAGTTGCTTAGTGCCTTGCTGTTGCTGAGGCTGGCTTTGAACTCTCTATCTTCCTGTCTCAGCCTTCCAAGCCACTGGAATTACAAGCATGTGCCACCACACCCAGCTAGATTTTTTGCTTTTTAAAAAAAATTTTTGTGGTATGAAGACACAAATGGTGTCACTCTACTTTGTGTACAACCAGAGATATGAAAAATTGAGCTTTATATGTGCAATATGAATTGTAGTGCATTCTGCTGTCATATATAACAAATAAGAATAAATTTTTAAAAATTTGTTTTGTGGTACTTTGGGTTAAACCCAGAACCTCCTATATACTAAAAAAGTGTTCTACCACTGAGCTACAGCCCAAGTTCAGGATGTTTTAACTTTGCCTCAGAGCCAGAGGGGGCTGACTGGCGAACATTCAGGAAATAGGATGCCAAGAAACTTGCATCAGTGTAGATTTTTAGAATTGAGGAAATTTAGGTTAGTGACAGAACTGGAGTTTGACCTGGGGTTTCAAATGACCCGCTAGTTTCAGTGTAGTCTGGAAGGTAGGAGACAAAGTGTACGCTGTGTGACCTTAGGCATGCTAATTAACCCTCCTGAACCTCTGTTCCTCTTTTCAAATAAAAGGTGATTATAACTAAAAGGAAGAGGATTGAGGGTTGATGAAATGGCACATAGTCCAGTGCTGGGCATGCCCATGGGGAACAGCTCTGATTCTGTGACCATACACCTGGCCAGGGGGAGGAAGACGTCAGCTTGAAGTAAAAGGAATCCACCTTCTTGAAGCTTGTCTTGTCCTTGTTGAACCAGAACAGGCTCTTTCCTGTGGAGGAAGAAATATTTGAAGTTCAATGGTTCTCTTGCTCAGCCACTGCCCCACCCCCCTCCACCCCCGTGCTGGGGATGCACCCAGGGCTTCAGCCTGCTGGGCGACTGCTCTACCACTGAGCCAAACCTAGACCTGGGTCTTTCAGTTTTACTTCCCTCTCCTTTATGCAGCTTCCCTGGGCTCCTGGAACATAATCCCAAGTCTTAATAGGGGCCACTAGATCTTGCCAGCCACATTATCTGGAATTTTGTTTCTATTGTACCAGACTTTTGGGGATTTTACAAAGGCTGTGACACAATCAGACTTGAATTTTGACAAGACAGTGTGACTGCCCAGAGATGTGATTATGTGCATCTCTGCTGGGAGGGTGACTCTGGAACCCAGGGACCTGGGCCAAGACCTGGAGTCAGCCATGGAAATAAGCTTTGGGAGTTGCGGGGAGAATTCTGGGTGAGAAATATTATAAATGCAGGGGCCCTCCATGTAGAGATGGCATTATGGGCACCCAGAGAAGATGAAGAAGAGAGGTGCCAGCATTGGGACCTGGGCCCTTCAGGGTTTGGAAGTCAAGGAGAGGAGGGATACCAGCACAGAGTGTCAGGAGTAGTCAGGAGGGCCTGGTGGCCGAGTGCAAGAGAGCACAGGGTCTGGACTCTAGCAGGCGCTGGAGATGTGGCACATGAGATGGAGAGTTGACCACCTCCTGTCCTGCCTCAACTGAAGTTCCGTCCCCAGTGCCTGGCCAGGTCTTTACAAAGTCCTTGTTCCTCTGTCCTTGCCCTGTCCTGCCCCAGGGGYCCCTGATGTGTGCAGTTCCTTCCCAAGCTTGGTGTTCTTCTTGGGGCCCTTTTTCCTTTTCTCTTCCCTGGGAATGGAACACTCCTCTCTATCTTAGTATGATTTGCCATCTGACTTCCTGGGGGGTCTCAGCTTTCCAGGGAGCCCCAATCAAATAAGCRGATGTCTGACTCTCTCCAGTCACCAGGCCCCTTGGGGTACAAATATAACCATGTGTGTTATCTGTCTCCCCTGAGGGACAAAGGCCTACTTGTTTTGCTTACTGTTCTGCCTCCCATACCTACAACAGTGCCACACTCCCCAAAACCTGGGCATTCAGGCTCTGCACAGCCTGTCTCAGGTCCTTCTGCAGAGCCCTGTTGAAGGACRGATATTTGTTATTTCTATAGTGGAAATATTTGTATTTTCATTATCTTTTTTGTCATGTTCCCCACCCGTTTTTAGAGATAAAGAAACTGAAACCTAAGAGATTAAATTATACTCTAGGATTCTGCTTCTCTCAAGAAGTGGAACCTGTGTATTAGAGCCCAGGTGATTGGACAGAAGATGGTCCTAATGAGGCCATCATGTCAGGAGCTTGGGGAACAGAAAGGGCAGCAGCTGATTTCCTGGAGAGAAGGAGAAGGGGAGCTGGGGAAAAGGCAGGACAAGGCTGGAGGCCCTGCTCAGAGGAGTGGCAGTGGCTCAAGTTTAGAACATTAAGTGAGAGGCTTGCTAAGACAAGAGCCTGGGGGTGCTAGGCCCAGCCAGATCCACAGGGCTGGTGAGGCATGCTGTGGAGTCTGTTCTTTTCCCCAAGGCAATAGGAAGCCATTAAGCAGGGTGGTGACATGATCTGATATCCACTGTAAAAGATCTCCAATGTTAGAGATGGAAAAGACATTAAGGCAAACCTAGGAAGGAATAAACTGGGAGAAATCTGCGCACACTCCTTATTGTGGGTGTGGGTTGAGGTGCCTTGGACTAGGCTGGTCTAGAGAAGAAGGTAAGGGGGCAAAGTTTACAGTAAGGGAAAGGTGGAGATGTGTGTATGTGGGGAGGAAATTTCATCTGACTTCAGGGTTTTGGTTTGAGTGGGTGGATGGGAAATGGTTCTGATTATTGGGATGATGGGATTATTGGGTAACAGGATTTCAAATGTTCCTTATTTTCCTGTTCTCCGCCTTCCTTCATCCTGAAGCTCCGCCCCCAGAATCCCTGATGAGTATTAGAAGCTTTGGAGAGGTGTTTGTACACGTGTAATCATTAAGGAARTTTACATGAACATTTTAAGTGAAGTCAACCTTGGAAAACAATGTCAGGAAGATGTAGGTTGTGTTTGCAGGGGGGGATAAAGGGACAGTTTGAATCCAACTGACTTCTTTACCTTCTCGTGATTGACTTATTCAATCAGGTCTCCATTATATCTAAATCTTTATTTAAATTGGCTTTCTGCTTGGCCCCTCCCTTTCTGGTTTCCTTGTAAAAACCAGCAATCACACATCTCTTCCAGTATTGCTCCCAGCCAGGTGGACTGGCCAGCTCCTAGGGTTTCCAGGTTCCAGGCACTGCCTTCCCCCACCTAAAGGTAATTTCTGCTATCTATTTTTTATCATATGTTATGGTGATATTTTATAGGAGGTTTAAAATTGTGAGGACTTGCGTGGGGTTGAGAAACTTAATAGAAAAAAAGTGTGGCATTCCCTCGGGTTGTTATTCCTACTTCATTTAGTGCATTCAGTCTTGTTAAAAGGGCTGTCCCTGTTTCCTTCTCAAATGTCCTTTGTAGTTTGCAAATGCTGGCAGGTCTGCCCAACTTCTTCATTCTCTTTTCCTGCCGCCTCCTCACTGCAGTTTTTCAGGTTTTCCTGCTCTGAACACTGAATTCTTTTACTTCGATTATCTATGTTGGCTCAATTTCAGCTCCAGGGATTTACTCACAGTTTCCAAAAAAAGAAAAAAAAATTCTTTTTTTTTTTTAAATAATAGTTCCACAGTGAAATACTTATGAAAGATCATATTAATTTCTGTTCTTCTAATTAAGGCTAAATCTCAAAAGATGATTCCAATAACTATTAAAATCAGCAAATCAGAAGTTTTTGTTTTTTTTTTTTGGTTGTTGTTATGAGACCTGAGAATGCTGGGGCCAGCAGGATCTGGATAGAAAAATCAGATGTTAGCCAAACCTAGAGGCCTGATAGTGCTCGGATCAAATCAGAGATAATGTGACTTTATAGGCGCATATTGGGAAATAAGACTTAAGGAGGGCCTGCGTGGGTGATTGGGGAAAACGAGGTGAAGCTGATGGTTGTCGCATTAAGAGGTGCCGAGTGGGGCTTTGCTTCTTGGCCCTCCTGGGGGCAGCTTGTCCCGAGCAGTGGGCTCACAAGGGGGCACAGCTCTGCGGGTCCCCCTCTTTGTTTTCGCACCTGACTCGTTGGGAGCCGGTCTGGCCCCCAGTGAAGGCGAGGCTGGAGCACGCGTGGGCGGAGCCAGGGCTCCGAGACCAACGTTCCATTTTTAGTTTTCACTCCATACGATAAAGCGAGTTCTTAGCTCTTATTACGAAACTGAATGTTCCTGGTGTTCTCCTGTTACTTTTGGAGTTTCCATTTTTAATGAACTACACACGCTTTCCATATAAATCGGAGGCGTGTGAGCCTCTACATGCGGAGGGAGGAAGCCCTCACCGYGAATTCACATCCTCGCTCCGCGGCCTTTTGAAAACAGTATGTATTTGCAACCCAGCAGTCAGTCACTGGCAGAATTTTGCAACGATTTCCCAGTTTTGTTGGCTGGTCTCCAGGAGTTAAGGCTCTTTGTAATTCTTTACTCAAACATCAGGATCACATACAGAACTCTTAGCAGATAGATCAGTTAACACAATATTCTCTTTCAGTTTTAAAAGCTACAACATAATAAGATTTTTTTTTTTTTTTTTTGGTGGTAGGAGGAAGGGGAGGAGAAAGTAACTACCCTATGATGCCATAATGCTCGACAAAGTCGTGGCTTTGTGAGGGCATAGGGGAAAAAAAGCACCACCTTTTTTTTTTTCTTTTGCTCCMAAAATAATTCAGTAGCAACTAGGTTTGTGAGCCGGAGTCCCATTGTTCTTAGTGAAACGATTATTTGTCAAAATATTTGATTGTTTCCCTATGCCTACTGAAAAGTTGAGACTTTTCTTTTTGCTCCATTTTGACACTGGGTTTTTTAACTATCCCCGCTATTGTGTTTACAGCATTCAAGGTTTCAGAGTTCAAAGGTTACCCATTAACATGTAGAGTGAGGCTACACTACGGTTAGACTCAACCTGGTGCCACTTGTTCATAGTTTCTTTGTTTTGGAGCAGGGCTCACAAGTCATTTGTTTTGATAAAGTGAAGTTTCTTGCTCATGAAGAGTGTGTTTTTGAAGTATGTTTTGGAGTGTGAATATTCATAAGGTATTAACAAACATTTTAAGGAAAGGTATTCATCTTTTGTGAGAAAAGGAACTTAGTACTGAAAATGATCAATATCCATGTACTGCCGTGAAAAAAACAAAACAAAAAACAGTGCTGGCCTAAGGATCTACTTCTGGCACTGCTAATTAATTAAGTGTGAGTAAGTAATTGATTCACTTCCTTTCTAAAAAAGACTAACCAGACCATATGTGGGGCTAGTAGTTATATATAAAACGATAGCAAAACATTAGGCTGGTCTAGCTCTTCCTCTTTGCTAAGCTGGCTTCTCAAATTCCTTTTCCTATTTATTAAGGATTGCGTTGCTCACCAGTTCCGGATTTTTTTTTTTTTTTTTGTAGTGCTTTGGTTTTTTTTTTTTTTTTTTCCTTCTGATATAGGAGATATATTTTAAGTGCTTTTCTTGATGTGTTTTTAAGGTTTTCCATTTTGGATACACTGAAGGCCAGTTTTTAAAAAAACAACTTGGCTATTTTGTTTGTAGCGACTTGCATAGATCCATTTCACATTTGCATTAATTTGCATTTTGGAGCAGAAAAATTAGTCGATGTGATTGTTTTATCCATGGTTCCTCCTTGGGGCTTGGTTGAGATAGGGGGATATCTCAGACCTTTGGAATCATAACCTTTTCCTGCCTTTTCTTTCTTTCATCCTTTCTTCTTGTAAGCAAGGAAGAAAACAGTTGGGAAATGATTTAAATAAGTTGGTGCAGAAAAGAGGAGGAATGGCTAGTTTGTGTTTGTTTTTGTCCCCACTTTTAGTCTAGTTTCATCCACAGGATTTCTATCAAACCTAATAGCTTCTTGGAATTTAGGCCAAATTTAGAAATCTGAAATAAGGGCAACGCAAGCCCAGCTTCTTAGGAAAAAAAAAAAGATCACAATTAGCTTTATGAAGATTCTAATTTAAAGAAAAATAATTAATCATCTTATCTCATTTTCCTTCCTCATACTTGAAGGGTATTTGAAAAAGTGCTTTCTGTACATAAGTATCTTCTAACGTACCCCAAACCATTGTATAGGGTTTTTGTAATTCTGGATGACCCAAGAGTTCGGCTACCAGCCCCTCCCCTCGCTTGGGCACACCTTGCAAGGGAGGGGGGGGAGGCTGCGAGGCGAGGGTAGGTTGTGCGCCTGCGCACTACCATCCCGGCCCCCTCCCCGAGTACCTGTCACTGGAACCGCCGGGGCGCGGGCCGGCCACGTTAGGCCGGATGGCGGGAGGAGGAGGCGGGGGCGGCAGCAAGGCGCGCGCGTGCGCCAGAGACTCTGGGCAAGAACAGCGTGTGCGCGTGCTCGTCCGCGCGCCCGCGCCCAGAGGCGGGGTCCGCGACGGTGGGCGGGGCAGGGGCGCGCCTGCGCAGATCACGTGGACCGCGGGGCGGGGAGGGGGCGTGGCCGGGCGGCCGGTGGAGGCCGGAGGCGGGGCGTCCCGAGCGGCGGGGCCGGGGGAGGGCGCAACAGCTGCTCCGAGCACTTTCTGACCCAACAGTCCCCCAGCGCCGGACGCGCCGCGCCCGGCGGCTCTAGGGACCCCCGCGCCTGCACTGTCCCCGCGCGGACGAGTAGGGGGCGCCCGCGCCTTTGCCCCCGTGCGCACCCCGCCCCGCTCACCTTAGCCCCGCGCCCGAGGTGAGCCCGGCCCCCAAATCCTCCGGCGGGGGCGGTGGCGGTGGGGGTGGGGAGCGCTCTTTTTCGGGGGAGGGTCTTCCCGGCGCCAGGCTGAGGCGTCCGAGGGGATGGCTTCGCCCCTCAGCCCCGGGCCCCCGTCTCTTTTGGGGRGCCGGGTGCGGGCGCGGGACCGGGAGGTGTCCGCACAAAAGGCCGAGCGAACTCGCGTTGCCTGCTCCTCCCCGCCCTCCGCCCGCTCCTCCCCATTCAAACCTCGCCGGCTCGCGGTGTCAGAGCAGCCGGCCGCCGTGAGCGAGGGAGGGCCGAGCCCCGGCCGCAGGTAAAGGGCGCCCCGGCCCCGGCCCGGCCCCGCTCTTAGGGGCGCCCCTCCCTGGGCGGGCGGCGCGCTCCCGCGCCCGGCCGCCGCGCTCCTCCGAGTGCCCTCCAGGGCCGGGCGGGGGTCCCGGTTTTCGCGGCCGGGGCGGGGGCCGCGGCTGCGAGGGCCGCAGTGGGGCTCTACGAAAAGTTGGTGCCCGCGGGCAGGTCTCCCGCTCGCCGCCCGGGCCACGGGGCGCGCGGAGGGGCGGGCGCGGGGTCCCCGCGGTGGCCGGGGGGCCCGGCAAGTTGGAAACAGCCAAAACAATGCGTCCTAACAAGCGTCCCCCGCAGACAATGGCCGGGCCGTCCACACCGGCCGGCGGGGGGCGCGTCCACGGGGGCCGCGGGGGGCGGGCCTCGCCGCGGACCCCAGCCCTYGCCCGCTCAGTCCCCCTCGGGGCGCCCCGAGTCTGTCCCGGGAGCCCCGGGTCGCCTGCCCATCCCCGAGCCCGCGGCGCACAGGGCTGCGTTTCCAGGATGTGTGTGATAAGGTGGTTTGGCTTTTTTCCTTTTAAAGATTTTTCCAAAAACTTCTGGTGCCCCATAAACTCTTAAAGAACGTCTTTGCAACTCTGGATTCCAGTGGGGGAACCTAGAGCCAGCGGGAGGCAGAGCCGGGAACTCTAAAGGGCTGGGGGGACTGAAGTGGTAGCCTGAGAGTGTTTCTTCTCTTTAAAGGGAAGTTTCTGCGGCGGGCGCTGGGTGGTGGGACGCGGGGTTTCCGATGCAGAGCTCTCTGCACTCTTTTGGCCCCAAACACGAGCGCACGCGACGGGGAGCGGGGCGCCGCTGGGCCGGGGCTACAGCCGGGCTGCCTGGGCGGTCCGCCCGAGGGCGCAGGCGGCGCCGGTCCCGGACCCACACTTTAGGATTGGGGCAGGGCCACCGAGGACGGGAAGCCGCATTCTTGGGCGGGTGGGGTGGGTGGGGGTGGGGAGAGCCGGCTTTCCTCAAGGTTCGGTTACAGGAGCCTGGGAAGCCACCGTGGCCCCTCCTGGGACCCCAGTGGCCTGTCCTCACTGGAGCCGCAGAAACCCTCCCCCTCGTTTCTCCCCAGGAAAAGGGTAGTCGTTTCCAGGGTTAGGGTTTCACTGTGTTGTTCTTGAGCCTCAATTTATCTTTCCGAATCAGCCTATGGGGCTTGAAGCCTTGGACATTCCTAAACACGGATTAAATAAGTGGCGGTTGCCGAGGTCCGGGGGCCTATTCAGGGTCGTGTTATTGACCACCGTGTGTACTAGCCACAGCGTAGCTGGTTTCCTAGTTTGGTAGAGATGGTTTGGAACCATTAAGCTGTATGTTTCAAGAAGCCTAGGTCTGATTTAGTTCAGGTTGATTCAATTATGTCTTCATCGCTTTTGAGTTGGTTGAATGACTTGACATGAGATTAAGCCCAACAAAAGAAGAGGCAGGGTAACAACAGCTGCCATCCAGGCCTGGCGACTTAGGTAGGGGTCTCGGGGGCCTTCCACCTTCTCTTTGTATGTCTCAGGAAGTACATTAGGGTTCTTATTTTACTGTACTTTCCTCCTGGAGTGGATGGACTTCTTTGATAAGACTTAAAATGCTAAATTTTGTAATACTTTGAGGCTGAGTAATAGATCTAGAGTTTCTAAAAAAGGCTTTATGTGTCTGTAGTGACAAGTGCAGCGTAATAACCTAATTGCTTTTCGTCTGAAAAATACAAGTCAAACCACTAGTTTGTGCTTGCTTAGTTAATGTGCTAAGAACTTTTAAGGTGTGTCCTTAGTGGTAGATGACTTTTTTCCTTCTGAGAAGTCATGTTTATTTTAGATACTGTTTTGTTCAGTGTTCTGGAGACTGTAGTAGTATTTTGGGTCTTTTTTTTTTTAAATCATGTTTTAGTTGAAGTCACCCCTTCCCCCTCCCCATTTCTGCCAGTTTTAATCGGTTATGTAAGTGGTAAATTCAAGTGGCAATGACTTACTTAAAAATTCAGTTGTCAGTAGTTATAAGATTTATAATTTATTTGGATTGTAGAATAGGGTTAATAATCTGRTGGTTTGGAATTTTACTTGATGTGGGGAGGAAGGCCAGTCCTTTCGAATTGTACGTTTATTTGCATACGGGAGGAGGAAGTGGAGGGAAAGATTATGACTTATTGGTGAAGGACACATACTTTTTTTTTAGTGTCTACAGCTTCTTTTAATCCTTTTATCTTCAGGACACCTTCCTACCACTTTGCAGTTTGACCTTTGCTGTAAATAACAAGTGAGATGGAAGTTGAGCAGTTGTCCTGGGTTCAAATTATTCCCTTTCAC